ATATTGCATTTAAAAAAAAAAACAGAATTGTCAATTTTGATATTATGGTGACTTGAAGCATAAACCCTGAAATGTGCCATTATAAGTGGTCTAGGTCTTCTCAGACACATTCTCCATATATGACTGTTTCACAGGATTGCAGCTGCTCTCCGTTCCACTCGCCACTCTCACGGAAAATGACTTGTGATGTTAGTGTGGACGTTTTTTCCTGTGCTTCACTTCAGCTGCTATCAGTCTGCACACAGGATCAGGGTAAGCCTGCCTTTGAGGGGGAAAGTGTCTTTACCTGCAAGTGAGTGTGGGCGATATGACCAAATTCTTAATTCATTTTATTTCAAAATAACGATATATATCACATATAGTTATTTTGTGTTATTTTATCTCATTTTTGTTAATAAAAATAAGAAAAAAGAAGCGTAGTTTAACGCGTAGTTAGAATTAGTTCAGAAATGTAATGAATAAAATGATGCATAGTCTTCACTGTATTAACCCTTTAGGCGCCAGAGGTTTTTTCCTAAAACGTTCGATTTTGACATCTTAATTTCAAAAGTCTATATCTTAAAAGTGATAAAAGATAGAGACTTTCTGTAAATTAGAGAAATATTAAGGATGACCCAAAGTTTATGTAGGGATTACATTTTCCCATCTAATTTGCATATTATGACGTCATATGGTGGCGGCAATCTTGGATTATAGAATTTTCATGAAAAGTCACATGTTTAAATGATCAAATGCAGCACTTTTTTCCCCCCAAAATGTCCATCACCTTCTGTATGCTATATTGCACAATACTGAATGCTCAGGTATATAGTAAGTAGTAAACAAACTGTGTAAATCATTACTAATAAATGGTAGAAACAAACCGAATGCATGTAGTGGTTGGCCTTTTGCTGTAGAGATTCTCCATTTACTACATACAGTAGGCACTCTGATTCCATGTATGGGGCACATATATATTATTCATATGACATACAAACACAAGTGGACAAGACCTGTTTAGTTTAAACGCTCACTCGCCACGGCAAGGCACGGATCGTGAGTGAGATGATACGAGCAGCGCGGCCAGATCTGTCATTGCGACTCCTCACTCTGCCTCCACGTTGCCTCATAACTGTCCTATGAATACTTCGACCTCGTCTAACATACCCAGTGGCCCAATGGCTCACTGGAACACTAGCTCCGCTTTCGATCGCACTGATTCAATGCATTTTTTTGAGTCGGGGATGAAGTATGACATGTCTGCCATCCAGTGGAGGGGAGGTCGAACAAAATTTGACACCCATTTTGACAAAATCGGATGTTTTATTCAGTGCCGCATCTTGTCGAGTAAACTCGACTGTGGCGCCTAGAGGGTTAATTAAATATAAATGTATTCTTATTAAAGTTAAAAAAGCTAAAAATGTTATTCAGTCAAGAGCCGTAAGTAATTTTCTCTTGTTTGATTCACATTAATGACACAGAGCAGCGGGTTTATTAGGCTGCTGTCACTTTAAGACCAAACACACCGATTCATTATACTGATACATATCCGGTTTACACCCAACTCTTTACTTTCCCTGAAGATATAACTGCTGTGTTTAGATGAAAACTCCACATGATGGACATTGACATTATTGCACGTGTATTCGACCATTCAAGCACACTAAGACGCGAAAGAGAACAGAATTGGCGATCGCATGCTGAGAGACGTGGCTTATGCTGTGTTTAAGTAAGTGTGTGTGACCGCATTGAGTTCTGTTCACTGATTTGTGTGCTGAATAACACTTTTTTTTGTTCCTTTTCAGGATATATTGCACTTGCAACTATTTTATATTATATTGCGCTTAAATCTCTTTTTAACATCAAGCATGTCCCGCTCTTTATATTCTCATTTCTGCATTTCATCACTCTGAAGTGTCAATAGTGCTATATTTACATATCGCAATTTACACGATATGGCAAAATCTCTAACGATAGACATTTTATACCGTGGTCACGATATATATCGTCATACCACCCAGCCCTAACTCCAAGAAAATTATTTTAGTTTTATTGTAAAAGCTGTTAAAATGCTGTTTGTTGCATTTAAATGCATTTTTAAAGCTGCAGTCCGCAGTTTTTCCTCTGTCGCCATCTCTGTTGGAAATCTGCAATTGCAGTCATTCTCGGAATTATCAACTTTACGTGAGTTGTGCCTCGGCGCGGCACAGCGCGGATGAACACAGTGTTTGAGGAGAGTGTGTGTGTGTCAGTCACCGCCGGTGTGGATACTGGCATTCAGAATCACAGATTATACTTTTTGGAAGTATGATCAACATAATAATTTTCACTGGAAAATGTAATCTGAACAAGTAAGAAACATCCACATTTGTTCTGGTTCTGACATTGCAGTAAATCGCGCTGATTAAATCTAACAATCGCTTATAAGTTATCATATCACGTAAAACCGTGCATATTATACTTTGTTCTCAAATTGTTAATGTTAACAATGTCAGCATTGAGTGACTACATTTAATGTCCTTGAGATATTATCCTTATTTTCGCATGGGCCGGTCGCAGTCTCTTTTGTATTTGGCCAAAGTCTTTTGCATTTTACAGCGGGTGAATCTCCTGTTGTCACTGGTGATAGTCGTTTGAACCTTACTGGATCCGCCATCAAATTAATAAGTTTGATTATATCAAGTGCTGTGAGAAAAGACTATAAATCTCCTCCTCCAGCATCCTCACACTCATAGCCTACTAGCCGAGACTCTTCTTTATGTGTACAGATGTGTGTGTACAGATGTGTGTGTACAGATATGACGTAATGACGCAAAGACATGGTGGAAATCCACCAGTACCACTGGAATTAAAAACATTATTACAAGCTTACCGTTTTGAATCGAGCTACGGCAAGCAGAGAGTTCTGAACACTGGCTGGTTATGTATTTGCTCAAAAATGTATTTTGGATCATTTTTAACCACAAAAAGCTACGGACTGCAGCTTTAAGTTAATTAGAGATTTTCTGAAATCACACAAGACTGAACTAATCTGATCTAGAGTGAATGGAGTCTGTACGGTAAGTGGTTCAGGCTGAATTAATTGCATTTTTACAGAACGTACTGTATGAGGAATATCAATAGAGCGCTGCAAACACTGTAATTACGTCCTGACAGAAGAAGCTTTAGCGGATGACAGAGGTTACGGCAGGTCTTCCCTGAGGACAAAAACACACTCCTCAGACGCTTACCAGTGTGTGTTCTGCTGTCTTCAGTCCAGTGACATTTAGCATGGACGCAATTTAGTTCTGCAGACATTTGACCTCTACACTGTGAATAAAAGTCTGCAGATGTTTTAACACAATCTTCTCCATTGTAGCAATGGTAATAAAAGGCCCAAGTCAATGGTAGCCTATAACTAGGACATCAAAATACTCAAAAAAAAAAAAAAAAAAAAAAGCCTGATTTAATTGCACATACAATTTTCTATCCATTTGGAAATGGATGGATAAACTAAATATGATGGATTTTGATTGGTAACACATTAGTTCATGTTGATACATTAACAAACTTTAACAATGAGCAATACATTTGTTACAGAATTTATTAATCTTTGTTATTGTTGGTTAATAATAATACACCATTTCATTGTTAGTTCATGTTAGTTCAGGTCCATTAAATAATAATAAGAGATATATTTTGATGAAGACAACGACGACCAACAAAGACTGAAAAGCAGGGGAATAAATAAACAGAGGAGATAACAAGAGACAGGTGGAGATGATTAATCGTCATAGAAACAAACAATGGTAGCCATGGCAACACACAAGGATAATTATGGGAACAAACAACACAGCAATGGAAACAAAGGAAACAGGAACAAATGACACGGGATGAAACACTGAAACAAGGGGACCAGGAAATGCACTTCAAAATAAAAGTCCCACAACACAAAACCAGGGAAACAAGACAGACCGAACCCTTTCAGGGGGTCTCGGTCCACCTCTAGATGAACTCTGGTGCGGTTCGACTAAAATATGAAGGGAACACGGACCAAAGACATCTAAACGCACCAAAAACAGGACGTGATGTCACAAGATGTGACCCTAAAAAGGACAGAATCGTGATAGTCGAGGTGTTGCTCATTATAGTTCAGTTCAGGCGTCAGAACCGCGTCTCCTTGCAGCAGATCTGCGTTTGTGTGTAACGGAGGAATTACTGGTGCCGTTTTGACTCTTTTACACAGCTCTTTGTGCTTCTCAGCTGGTAAAAAATACCATGTACAAACATACAATGAGCGCATTTAGCCAAAACACAGCATTGTTTCAGAGGTTTGGTAAGTTTCGTCCATATAGTTATACAGCACTCATTAAAGGGACACTATGCAGTTTTTTTAGCTTAACTGAAAGGATTAGTTCACTTTAAAAAAAACTTTTGCTGATAATTTACTCACCCCCATGTCATCCAAGATGTCCATGGCTTTCTTTCTTCAGTCGAAAAGAAATTAATGTTTTTGATGAAAACATTCCAGGAATGAACGAATCTTTTTTCGAGTCATTGACTCGTTCATCAAAATGATGAACGAGTTCGAACAGGAGAGTTCGCAAGGCGAGCATTTGTGCCTATAAAACTTTAACTTTTTTATTTATTTTTGAAATGACCGATCGTTTCGCTAGATAAGACCCTTATTCATCGTCTGGTATCGTTTAAAGCTGCACTGAAACGGTCATTTAGACCTTGAACCGTTTGGGGCCCAGCAAAGTGCATTATATGGAGAAAAATCCTGGAATGTTTTCATCAAAAACATTAATTTCTTTTCGACTGAAGAAAGAAAGACATGGACATCTTGGATGACATGGGGGTGAGTAAACTATCAGCAAAAGTTTTTTTTAAAGTGAACTAATCCTTTAACTGAACAGCTTCAGAGTTATTGAAATGGTTATATGACTTATTTCGGGTTGAATGGTGGCCGTCTCTCCAGTCAACTCTAGTAGAGCATTCATTTAGTTCGTTTTTTTAAATAAGAGGCGATCTGAAATGCGTTGTTTTTGAAATTAAGTGACCAAAGTGCTCGTTGCCGCTGCGATCAGTGGCGCGGATACAGTGTTCTGTTGTGACGCACACAGTCTTCACACGGACGCGCGCTTCAATCCGTTGCGGAGAGACTCTCTATATTTGTTACGGTGAAATCACAAAACCTAATGCACAAAAAAGCGTGTCCCTGCTTGATATACAACCACTAATAAACAATCGGTTTTGATGAGGAAAAAAAACTATACTTCTTAGTAGGGCTGGGCGATTTATCGCATCACATTGTTATGCGCATCTCGTCAGTAAAGCCGGTATCGCCCGCGATATTAATGCGATATGGCTCAGCTTGTCAGTTAACTACGGCTCTTTGTAGTAAATGCCGCTCCATATGAAAGCAGGTGAAGGCGATTTACTACTAATCAAGGAACCGGCTTTACTGACGAGATGCGCATAACAATGTGATGCGATATATCGCCCAGCCCTACTTCTTAGTGCGGATTAGAGCCCAGAACCTCTGACACGCTTGGCAAAAGTTCTGCCACTGGACCATTAAAGTACATGGGGATAATAGCCGGATCTATGTATTTAATCACGCGAAAATTCTCACCACTAACAAGATATATTAGATCTCATTAAACGACAAATTAAACAAAATGTACCATTGTATACTATGTAACACGTCACGCCATGCATACCTGTCAACACTCCCGTTTTTCCCGGGTTTCTCCCGTTTTTTAGCCCTATCTCCCGGACCCCTCCCGGTTTGTTATTTTTCCCGGGAAACTCCCGTAATTTGCATGGCCCAAACTCCTTTATGAATAATCGGACCAGTATGTTTGTCTAATGTTGACCAGTTGCCAGATTGTATTAAATGCATTATATTCACACAATCCACAGACCATTTACAGTTTTAACCCGTTTGTCACCTCAACCTGGCAACCTATAACCCAGTTGCGCAGTCGCGGAAAATTTTAACCCGAAAGCGAGTCGATAGACATGATGGCAGTTGAAGGTGGTGTCCCCGCAATGAAACTGAAGTACAGTTTGTAACGCGTTGCTTCAGGAAGATTAGGGATAAGTTAGCTCACAACTGAAGTTATTGCATGCAGAGGCCAGACAGACTCACGGAGGCGATTGGCATCTCACAACTCGCACTTTATTCCCAAATCGAACTCGTGTAGCCTAACTGTCTGTCACAGGTTCTACCGTCCACATCGTTACTTAAAGGAGCTGTATGTAAGATTGTGGCCAAAACTGGTACTGCAATCACTTTCAAATGACTGTAGAGCGGTGTATCCCCTCCCCCTCCTCCCTGACTCGAGGTTGCCAGATAGGCTGCAGGATCCAGCAGGAACGTAGTCTGCTCCAAGAAGTGGTAACTAGAGCAGAGCTGGCAACCCGGATCCCGCAACACTACTGACTTTGTGATTGGTAGATAGGTGGAGGGTGGAGCATCAGACCAAAACACAACATGACAACATCAACATCAGTTGAGGGCTGCAACTTCACTTTTTAAATGACAATATCCTGGCAGGACTACTGTTGTCAGTGATATAAGTATTTGAAATGAACATGATTTCTTAATGTCTAGTGACATATCAGGGCCATTTTATGATCAATTGAAATAAATTTCTTACATACAGCTCCTTTAATAAACAAAATAAGATCAAAACAGAAATTACCCGCATACATGGGGTGTTCGCATAGACAGTAAAAGGGGTGTTCGAGGCCCAAGGCACATACAATAAAATACTGCCGACAGTTCAACAGGGAGCGCACAGCTCTTAAAGGGGCCACACCTTATTTCCAGTCGTTACAAGTTGTACATTTACCCCAACCCCCCCAAAAAAAAAACATAAACCCCCCCCCCCCCGGAGAAATCTCCCAGATTTTAAATACCAAATGTTGGCATGTATGACGCCATGTCACGCTCTGCGTGAGTGGTATTTACGACAGTAACGTTAAATACAAGTCCTCCACAGCGACTCTAGGGTTCGCTGTTTGACAAAAACTGAATTCCTGCATAGTGTCCCTTTAAAGCCATTTGTTTTGTGTCTTTCGGTTCAGAGTTAAAAATGAACACTAAGCAAACCAGGACTAAATGTATCATTTAGAGCAAAATAACCAAACTGCAAGAGTAAACACAACCTAAGTTTATTAGTTGATGTTAAAACTGTGTAATTCAAATGGATGGAAATTTTCTCCGCAATTCAAATACATAAATCTTAAATGCAGGCGAGATGATGCTTCATGCAAGCGTTTTAACCCGTCTCACACAGCAGGTCCAAGAAGCACAGACTCACTGTTCAAAGTGGCACATTTCTCTTTGTTTCCGTAGAAAAACAGACCTCTGGGAGAGAAAGAAAGCAGAAAAGGGTGGAAGAAACGGCGAGGCTCCACAAAGCCTGCTGGGTTTGACCGCTGCTAAAGAACCAGCAATGAAACCTAATGAAACCACCGGAGGAATCAGTCAAGCAAAGCCCTGCGCCGTGCCATCAGAAAGCAGAAACACTCAACCTTATCAAGCATCCAGACTCCAGCAAAAAAGTAAATCCACATGTGTTGTTATTTCCCCCAAAGTGCATTTTCAGAGCTTCATTAACATGTCAGTAAAACCTTGTGGCTTTACAATCAAGATCTGAGGTTAGAAGGGCCGACAAAGAGCCGAGGAAGAGCTCGGACATCCAAAAACCTCCAAACATCTCTTTCTGATCCTAATAGCACATCCCAGGATCCCTCAAGGACAGATTCCTCTCTTTTATTCTCTTTGGAGTGCTTTCTATCTTTGATGTGACAAAGCAGAAGATGAAAGCTCCTGCTAATAAGGAAGTAGTGAGCGGCTCATGTGCTGTTTTCTCACACGCTGCAAAGCTGACAAGACATGAACACTGAACACTTTATTGGAGAAAGTAATGGGTGGTCAGTCACGATATCATGGGCTACAACTCTGGTCCAGTCACGGTCGACGGGTCGGGATGATGATGCTCTTAAAGGAATAGTTTCAAAGTCTAAGGAAGCGCTGAATGAAATTGGCTCTCAACTGAAAGTAAAGTAAAACACTAGGAGGGCCGCAAGATAACCTCACCTTATTTAAATGCAGTTATTAAAGTATTATGTTGTGTGTCATATTTAAAACATTAGGCTTTTATGGCTTATATAATAAGAATATGGAGGAAAAAAACAGCTCAAACTGAGCAAAAATATGTAATTTGCTGTAGATGCTGATATTTATATGGACAACAAGTGATGAAATTCTGATGCTTGTAATGTAATATCAATATCAACCAAAAATATGTCTTAGTAAGTTGATATTTAAATGCTTAGTTTCATAATCAAAGCTTTAAAACATATAATGCAATGCAATACAATGATGATTAAGAGATGAACTAATAAATCGTCCTCAAAAGCCTGATGATCATATTTGATTCTCTTAAAAAAAAAATGAAAGGATAATCAAGTAAACAAAAAAATGGATGCTTTTTACATGCGTCTATTTTTATTTTGGCTGTATTCGCCACAGTGAAGGGTGTAGGATTTACTTTATGTACTTTCCTTTGTGGTCTCTTAAACACCTGTCCTAGATGCTGAATGAAAATGCACAGGCAATTCCAGTCAGAATCATCTTTCAGAGAAGAAAATTGCAATAAATTACATTAAAGCACTTTAAAACCGCGGACAATGAAAACAGAAAGACCGCATTTAAACTCTGCCACGGGTGATGGTTCATTTACTGACTTTGCTAAGACACACTTCCTGCAATTTTTGAGGCTCCACACTGTGGAAATAAATATCCAGAATGACTGTCAAGCTGCCTTTCCAATGGCTTTTACAAAGCATGAAGTGCTAATAATGATGCTGTGGGACGCCAGCGTGGATATTCATATGTGGTTTGGGCTTTTGTAGAAGTGAACAGATCAGCTGAGGTTTTAGATGAAGGATTGATCAAATTATCATTTTGCTGAGACACAAAATTTAAAGGTGCCCTAGAATGTTTTTTTTTATTATTTTATAATGTTTCCTGGGTTACCCTTATAATGTTAGTATGTTTTTTAGATAAAAAATATTCATAATTTAGAAATAAATGGCATTTTTCCTAGCCTGCTTTTAGCCTCTGATTTGAACACTCTGTTTGAAGGGGCGTGTCTCTGTGGGATTCAGTGTAACCGCGGCCACTGCTGTGATTGGCTGCTGTGGGATTCAGTGTAACCGCGGCCACTGCTGTGATTGGCTGTGGGATTCAGTGTAACCGCGGCCACTGCTGTGATTGGCTGTGGGATTCAGTGTAACCGCGGCCACTGCTGTGATTGGCTGTGGGATTCAGTGTAACCGCGGCCACTGCTGTGATTGGCTGACATGCTTGCATATGAAATAGCAACGCATTACATGTGAAACTCTCTCCCGAATACTTTTACTACTGCTATTATAAGTTTTTACTATAACAGCTATCGAGATTAACGAATCGTGAGATGTTTTTAAAGTATTTAGATCTATTCCCATCACATAAAATGTTGCCGTGATGAGCATTGAGCAGAGGACAGTCTGTTGATCGCGAGACTGAAGATCTTATCATTGCAAAGCAGTTTCTGCACTCTCTCTAATGCTTTCACCAATGCAAACACGATGATGTAAATACAGTAAGAGCTTCGTTGTGCAGTAACGTGCGTCATTGATTTCATAACGAGTTTGGCAAGTGTCCAGATAAACTCGCGCTGTGGAAAGATTGTTCTTTGATCGCTTTCTGTATATAATTTGTTCACAATTTAAATACGATTATTTTCATCCTACTAAAAGAAACGATGTGAAGCTGATATTTTAGTCACTGGCTTGACTTACTGATGCATAAACAGTATTGAACGATTTTGAGAGAAAGATTACCTGTCTGAACTCGAACAATTACACATCAGAAAGTGTTGCTTGGTAGCTCGATCCGAGGCCAGCTCTGTATTGGCCCAAGTTGAGGAAACACTCGGTGAAATGTTTGGAAATTTCCAGAGAAAATAAAATTAACCCATTGTTTCTTCAGAGGCTCAGATGAAGGAACTAAAAAATACTTTTGTGTTCATGTGTACATCCACACTGAGCAACTGCCATGCTTCGGCTGCGCAGTTCCGCCTGGCATTGAGGGCTGGCATTATGCAAATATTTGGAGGCGTACATATTAATGATCCCGACTATTGCGTCACAGTCGGTATTGTGTGGAGAACCGACCGTTTTTCAGGGGTGTTTTTCATAAACGTGAATTAAATGAGAACGCGAAAACAGTCCAGTTTGAGATTCACTCTATGTCATGTCCATGCACTGAACTCTTGTTATTTGACTATACCAAGGTAAATTCAATTTTGAATTATAGGTCACCTTTAATGTATGGGATATTAAAATGGATAAAATATGCAATATTACATGCATCTAAAAAATAAGGTGTAATACTTTACAATAAGCTCCCATTATGAGCAAAGCATTTGTTACAGTATTTATAAATCTATGTACACATTAGTTAATAAAAAATACATATGTTCGTTATTATTTCATGTGAGCTCAAATCCATTAAATAATATTAACAGATACTACTTTTGATTTTAAAGGGGTCCTATATTGTGTTTTTTGTACATGTTTACCTTTCTTCAGTGTGTAATGTTGCTGTTTGAGCATGAAAAAGCTCTGAAAAGTTAAAAAATGATTCTCTATATCAACTCTCTGAAACCCCTCCATTGTAGTCTTGAGTTTTCTTGAACGAACACGACACAATATTCCTCATTTAAATAATTAATGCGCAGAATAAATGGGCGGGGCCTGGTTGAGTTAGTTAGTAGTGTGTTTAAACTGGTGGTTATGGTAATTAGGGGTGGGACATTTCCCAAACACACTCGAAGCGCTCGACCAATCACAACACACTGATCCAGCCGACCAATCAGAGCACAGTGTGCTTTTCAGAAGGAGGGGCTTCATAGAGACAGGAACTAAACAGAGCGTTACTGACAGACTGGGAAGAGAGGAGCCGCAACAATGGAGAATATGTGGAAAATAATCAACCTGTTCTAGTAGAGCCCAAAAACAACATCAAGACTTTGAGAAAGTAACAAAGGAGAATTTCATACAGCACTCGAAGGATTCAATAAAACCTTTAAACTACAGATGCCAAGATAAGTGCAGTAGAAACACTCAAGACTTCCATTAAAAGTCTCTCTTTTAAGTCTATAGGTCAAGTCTCTATAATGTAAGTCTGGACAATAATAAAAAAAAAAAATTAAGTGCAGGCCATTACCTTTTAACCTTTCAAAAAGCTCTAATGTATTGCTAATGTCACTCAAGAGAACTAACAATGCTTTTGACACTTTTGGGAGGGATCTTCTGAAGCTACAGTGCCGAATAAAGGGACGTGAAGGTGCAAACCGTACAATGGATTTGTGCTTCTATCATACTGACCTTTTCAAGATCACATCGGCCAACAGCACTTTAGATCATCAGAGAGCGGAGGGGAAAAGGTCAACTCATCATCATCATGTCATGAGAGGAACAGAATACAGCGGCACAGAGACACTGAGCTGTGCTGTAACCGAGACCGCTCGCCCTCAGTGACTAACAGAGCCCAATAGACAAGGCTGTGAATAGTAAAAAGGTGAAAATGAGCCACAGTAATGAGGAGAAAGCAGCATAACATGTCACGACAGGTGACACTTTCTGAACCTCAGCTTGCAGACGCCAGGGTTCGGCAAAAATAATCTTTTTTTTCTGTTCAATTCATTAATTTGAATTGAATTCCTGTATATCAATCTGAATTTCATGAAATAGTAAAATATAATATAAATTGTAAAAGTATATACATGACAAAATATATATTTTTTGAAATATTAATAATGCATATACTGTTCAAAAGTTTGGGGTTGGTAAGATTTTTTTTTATGTTTTTGAAAGAAGTATCTTCTGCTTACCAAGGCTGCATTAATTTGATTAAAAAATAAAGTAAAATCAGGAATATTGTGAAATAGTATTATAATTTAGAATAACTGTTTTCTATGTGAATATATGTTAAACTGTAATTTATTCCTGTGATCAAAGCTGAATTTTCAGCATCATTACTCCAGTCTTCAGTGTCACATGATCCTTCAGAAATCACTCTAATATGATGATTTGATGCTCAAGAAACATTTATGATATCGATGTTGAGAAATTTTTTTTGGATTCTTTGATGAATCTTTGATGATTCTTTAATGAAAAGTTCAAAAAGAACAGCCTTTATTTGAAACAGAATCTTTTGTAACATTGTAATTGTCACTTTTGATCAATTTAATGTGTCATTGCCGAATCAAAGTATAATATTTCTCCTTTTTTAAATGTACAGACCCAAAACTTTTGAGTGGTCGTTTGTATTTTTATCATAATCACTTTTATAATCGCATTAAAGGTAATTTTCCAATTATGAAAAATGTGTTGGATATAATGATTTAACAAAAAAGGGGGAAAGTACGCAGATTCGAATGATCTCCAACAGGAGCAGGATTAAAACAAACTATTCCATTTATTGTTAAACGGTGTGCAGATTTTCAATATAATGATTGCAAATCAAGTGATCACTCTGGTCTGGTGCATTTGTCAATGATGAACCATCGAGACTAATTATCAGTTAATTCTCTTAGTGACCTTGTACCTTCCTCTTAAACCACTGCGCTCTATTGATCTCGTCTCATTCTGATGATTCAATCTGAAAAATGCTTGTCCATTTATTGAAGAATCTGCTGGAAAGCTCAAAAAATCTCATTCAGGCTGAAAAGAACAAGCAATAAGTCACTGTGTAATTAAGTGTGGAAAACATGTGATGTCTTTCACATATTGACTCAAAACGCACTCTTGAATTCACAGCTGGAGGTTTTTCTGAGGTCGTCCATCGGCAGTCAAGACTTCTGAGAGAATGTGCCTGATTTTAGGTGTTTTAGATGGGACATTGAGGACAGCTGGGGTCACAGTATGAACACACACACACACACACAGACTACCTGTCATCTATATTCACCTCACTCATGCTGCCCGTCGCTCAGGAACGATGAAAGAGATCAGCGCTGGAATGATTAACAAACGCATCCGAGGGGCGACTGGCCGACTGAGACGTGATCAAGTGCTGCCGAAAGCGCTCGTGATAAAGAGGAAAATAAAGGCAGCATGGTACAAATGCAAAGAAGAAAGAGTAGATGAAAAGCACTGGAGGCAAAAGACTTTTAAAGTGTCATGAAACCAGCACAGTTGGGGCACAGAGAGGGAAACTAGAAATAATCATTATCCGTCACTTTGACAGACTTGTTCATTTTCCATTTCTGAATGCAGATTTCATTTTGATACAGCCAATATTAAAGTCAGCATGAAATCAAAACTGATCATTCTTATTGTTTTTTTTTAAACGGGACCTATTATTTCCCATTTCACAAGATGTAACACAAGTCTCTGATGTCCCCAGAGTGTGTATGTGAAGTTTTAGCTCAAAATACCCCACAGATCATTTTTACAGCATGTTAAAATCGCCACTTTTGGGGGGTAAGCAAAAACACGCCATTTTTGTGTGTCCCTTTAAATGCAAATGAGCTGCTGCTACTCCCCGCCCCCTTTCAAGAAGAGGGCGGAGCTTCAAGAGTTCATACCGGCAACAAAACAGGGCAATCTCACGCACTGAAACTGTCAGTAATGGTGTTCAGTACGATGTCGGACGTAATGCCCACAGAGCCAGAGAATATATGCTCTATAGAGATAGAACAGGTATAGTTTAGTTTAATTACGGTTGTCACCTTGCTTTTATCCACTATCAGTACAAGCCTGCTGTAGCGGACCCGGTCCGAACGATGGACAAAACTTTACTGATGAGTTTTATGATGTTTATTGATGAAGCGTGTTTTCACTCCAGAGAATCACTGAATAAACACAGTATAATAAGTCTTATCCATAAACTCGATCTCCTCTCCCTTTCATTATCATCAACATACACAGCGAATTACAAAAAAACACTCGTCACAACTAACAGTAAACAAATATATACACACCTTAGGCCTTTTCGGGGGTGCTTAATAAGCTGGTAAACTTGATATGCGTAAAACAACTCAGATGAACTGTAATAAAGCAAAGCTCTGCCTTTCATTACTGTCGTGACCAGTATCGCTCGGGAGTTAGCAATCTCAATAGCAATCATACATTATCAAATATTTCATGTTAATTTTTACCGCTCTGTCACATTGCGAGGAAACACCTGTATTTTTGCGCCGTGCGACAGAACATAAGCTGCTCGTGTTTCAGTATGGTATCAAATCACAGTTTGAAAAGGTCACATGCAGATATGAATAATTATAAGACAGTGGCTTCTCATAGGATTAGGCCACAGAGGCTCGTGAATAATTGTGAGGCCCTGTTGACTTCAAACCCGGAAGAAAAGCAGCACACAAAAACCTAAATAAACTCATTCCTCTTGAAATAAATAATGATGGATTGTAACGTTATCTTCAATCATTAAAAAGAGACTCGGCAAAGACTTTACAATTAGTTAACTACCTTAGTTAACATGAACTAAGAATGAACAATACTTCAGGATTTATTCATCTTAGTAAATATTAATTGCAACATTTACTAATACGTTATTAAAATCAAAGGTTGTTTTGTTAACATTAGTTAATGCACTGTGAACTAACATGAACAAACAATGAACAGCTGGATTATTATTAACTAACATTAACAAAGATTAATAAATACTGTAACAAATGTATTGCTCATTGTTAGATCATGTTAGTTAATACATTAACTAATGAACCTTATTGTAAAGTGTTACCAATGATTCTTTATTGATTTATAGATGTGATAAAGAAAGGAACATGTGGACTTGAATAATGCAGGAATTGAAGAGACGTGGTCAGGAGAGGAAAAGACTAATGTTAACTAATGAATCTTATTGTAAAGTGTTACCAATGATTCTTTATTGCTTTAAAAAATGTTATATAGAAAGGGACATGTGGACTGTAATAATGTAGAGTAATCATGAGAGGAAAGACTCACCGGGAATGTTGTGAATGGTGATGGCCAGGATCAGAAGAACGACTCGCCGCCAGCTGCTTTCTGATTGGCTCGTCAGATCCTGTGGTTTCGCACTCACTTCCTGTTCCTCTGTGTGGCCGGTGTTGGGAGCCCGACGTCTCTGGTACACCTCTCCATTCTCCACTTTATCTGGAAGAGAAACAGAAAAGGCTCGTCAAACATCTTCTCAAACGTCATTTTTTGGAGAACAAACACTTTCAAGATGCAAATGATCCACTGAAAGCATCCATATATCAACAATTTATTAGTCAACAGCTAGGTTTCCATCCACACGTTTTTATATCGAATGAAAAATGCCTTATGGAAACAGTAAAATTCGATTGAATTTCATGAATATCGACTCAAATGAAATACGATCGGTCTCATCGGATTTTATCTTGATCGATATACGGCTTATGCGATAATCGCGGATGGAAACGTTATTATGAACGCGGATACACACACCAGACACACCAGACACACGTCGGCAGCGTCTTACGTCAGCGGCGGCACTGAACGCGGATCCACAACAGAACCAGAATACACACACACACACACACACACACACACACACACACACACACACACACACACGTCAGCGGCGGCACTGAACGCGGATCCACAACAGAACCGGAAGACAATACAATGCTGAATAAAGTCGTAGTTTTTGTTATTTTTGGACCAAAATGTATTTTCGATGCTTCAACACACTCTAACTAACCCACTGATGTCACATGGACTACTTTGATGATGTCTTTATTTCCTTTCTGGACAAGGACAGTATACCGTACACACATTTACAATGGAGGGACAGAAAGCTCTCGGACTAAATCTAAAATATCTTAAACTGTGTCCTGAAGATGAACGGAGGTCTGACGGGCTTGGGACGACATGAGGGAGAGTCATAATGACATCATTTTCATTTTTGGGTGAACTAACCCTTTAATATTTTCTATAACACTTCCTTTCACTGACCGTTTGTTGAAGTCAAGTCACCTTTATTTATGTGAAATCAAAGCAGATTCACTGTAATAAACAGGAAAATAACAGTTGCATTAATGTTGTATTTTTTTCCAATTATAAAACAAAATAAAAGTCAGCTGTAAAGCAGCTCTACAGAAGACAACAGTGCTGTTATTCAGCCAAATTTAGTTCAATGTTGATTCAGTTTTGGTGTCAATGTTGCAAAGTTCTTCAGTTATGAAACAAACTCAGTTCAACTATAAAGCAGAAATACAGAAGAAACTAAAAACAAGCACCTGTTTTTGTACCTTGCACATGAAATATATGGCCATGAATTTATCAAACCAAACACAAAGTGAAATATAAACTATTAACCAATCAGTTGTTCAGTCACAGATTGAAAATGACTCTTTTCAATGCGTCCAATAAATCAATCATGTCTCTTTACTGTAGTCAAATTATTTCCCCACAATCGGCTAATAATCAGCAGGAGATTGTAACAGAACGACCGACTCTTTCAAAGCCGAGCTGAGCGATTATCTCCTCAAGGGCCCTCAAATCTCACACTGTATTTATCCTAGCTTTTATCCTTTTTTAAACGGCAATCGTCAAATCATTTCTTTGGATATAAAAAATGATATCCAGAGTGCATCTGAAACACATGCCACCAATTACCCGTCACTTTAGAGCGTAATTATGTGTGTGTGCGGTGAGAATTAGCAAATAGAAGAGAATGACCCTGAATCGTTCCTCACTGAAATGAAATCCCTCAGACTGGGCGGAAGAACGTGTCGATAATATAGTTTCAATTTCTCCCAACCACACATTGAAGAATATAATGAATGCAGATTACCCGGGCTTAAAGGTCATGAGGAGCACATCCGTCATGCCTGATCGGAGCGTATACAGTTTTTGGTCCGGAAAGACGGAAGGAGTTTTTAGATGAGTTCACATGTGGAATATAAAATATCATTTCAGTTAGGAGGCCGACGGATCGCTTGTGAATAAATCATGAGTGATGGACAACATGTGAAGGCCGAAGCTTCATGAATGGTATCACTGTCACACCGCGGGAAACGGGTTTGAGGGACAGGTCTACAGTTTAGGCTTACGGCCAGGGTTAGGTGCTTCTAGCAGGGTTATTCACCTATCATTTCACTCTGAATTTAGGGATAACTTATGTTATGGGTAGGGTTAGGTTTAGGGGTAGGGAAATGGGTAGAACAGAATTTACAGACAGTAATGTTGTTCCGGGAACAGGAACATTTCTGGATCTAAATGTCGATGTTACAGGTGCAAAACTGTTGTATAGTCATAAAAAGGGCGTTTCATGAATATTCATTGAGAAAATAGAAAGGAAAGGAAAGAAAGAAAAAGGAAGAAGATGGATGGATGGATGGATGGATGGAAAGAAAAAGCATGGATGGATGGATGGAAAGAAAAAGGAAGCAAGGATGGATGGGTGGGTGGTTGGAGGGATGGATGGATGGATGGATGGAGGGAGGGAGGGATGGATGGATGGAAAGAAAAAGGAAGGATGGATGGGTGGAGGGATGGATGGATGGAGGGAGGGATGGATGGATGGAGGGATGGAAAGAAAAAGGAAGGATGGAGGGATGGATGGATGGATGGAGGGAGGGATGGAGGGATGGAAAGAAAATGGAAGGAGGGAGGGAGGGAGGGAGGGATGGATGGAGGGAGGGATGGATGAATGGAGCGATGGATGGATGGATGGATGGATGGATGGGTGGATGGATGGATGGATGGAGGGATGGATGGAGGGATGGATGGATTAATGGATGGATGAATGGATTGATGGATTGATGGATTGAGGGATGGATGGATGGATGGATGAATGAATGGATGGATTGATGGATGGATGGATGGAGGGATGAATGGATGGATGGATGGATGGATGGATGGATGGATGGATGGATGGATGGATGGATGGATGAATAGATGGATGGATGGATGGATGGATGGATGGATGGATGGATGGATGGATGGATGGATGGATGGATGGATGGATGGATGGATGGGTGTGAATGTAATTTATTTCATAATTCAGCTGGAGTGTAAATCATCCCACCATTTTCAATGATTTGTTGTAAAGTCTCAGGTTGGCCAACACAATATCTCTAAAAATAATAAATGTTAAAAATACTAAATAGTCAAAACAATCTGTCCAAGGCAGCCGCGTTGTCCATTATCTAATGGGTAGATGCTAAGATGTTGCAATGAAACTCCAGATTGTTAGATTTGTGATGTTTGCCCATGAAAACCTTCCCACAATGCTCGGTTGATGCTGTGGGTGTTTGTAATGCAGTTGTTTAAGTGTTTTGGGCGGTTTCTTGGCAAAACACATCAAACAAGTCCATCTGCAAATCTCTGATACTCTGGACCCTGGATATGACTCTCTACTCTCCTTCTTTTATCGTCCGCCAGGCAAAAATGGCATATAAAAGTAATAGCACACCCCTTCACAAGCCGTGCAAAATGAGATATCGGTCATGTTCGCAGCTCGCCTTACCAAGCACCACTAATAATTACTTGTTTTATGGATTTTACAAAGCAGAATTGCACTCTCTGTCAGTAACACACACCAAACCCAATAAACACACACAGCTCCCGCGTCACACACTCAATCTCTGAGGAACTTCTCCAGCTTCAACATATCATTTAAACATCATATAATGTCACATATAAACCAAAAAAATAAATAAAAATATCTTCAACTCAAACATATTATTATTTAAAGATCGGGACAGCACGCCAGAGAACAGCAGGAGTGTGTGTGTGCCGCTCAAACTCTCCACGGGCGTCCCGGTTTCTGTTGATTACTGCTTGTTTGCTGGTTTTCTTGACATTATGCAAATTTATGTTCAAGCGGCTCCATCCCATATCACTTATTTATTAGCATATGCTTCGTTTGGCACCAGGAGGCTCAAATCTGTCTTCAGCAATCAGTCATAAGTCACTTTCGGAAAAACAATTATACTTGCACAATTTGAGGCGTAAGAGAAAGACTAATGTGACAATTTAATAACTCATAGAGAGCTTTCTGGCCTTGAACACTTCATGACAACGGAGGTATCATTAAAATGACTAAAATTGTCAGTGCATGCATGAGTGATCTGAAACAAACAAAAAACACTTAACTTTAAGAAAACAAGCCTCTTTTGCGTTTTTGCTACAGTAAAAATACTAATATTGTGAAATATTATTACAATTTAAAAGAGCTGTTTTCTATGTGAATATACAGTAAAGTGTAATTTATTCCTGTGATCAAAGCTGTATTTTCAGCATCATTACTCCAGTCTTCAGTGTCACATGATCCTTCAGAAATCAATCTAATATGAGGATCTGATGCTCAAGAAACATTTATGATTATTATCAATGTTGAAAACAGTTGTGCTGCTTCATATTTTGTGATGCAAATTCTGTGATTAATAGAAATTTGTTTTTAAAAACATTTTTGTTACATTATAAATGTCTTTACTGTCACTTTTGATCAATTTAATGCATCTTTGATAAATAAAAGTATTAAATAAAAAAAACTTTCATGGCTTTAAACGACCTGAAATAATAGTGCATCATATTTACTTTTATTTACATAGTTTTATGGTGATTGCATGTCATTTTTTGGAGCTTGATAGCTATGGAAAAGTTCAGTTTGAACATCTCCTTTTGTGTTCGACAGAATAAATAGTCATATGAGCTTGCTTGATGTGAGTTTACATGATATAATATATTGATCCAGCTAATAAATACATTATAGTTTAATTCATACAAAAAAGAAAAAGCAGAAGACTTCAGCACCCTCTACTGGCCACATTTGGCACCCGATGGGACTGGGGCATTTTGACCCAGTTTGGGGTCACTGTAACGACAATCCAACTCTAATCACATCAGCACACACACTCCTTCCTTATCTTTTCCCACAACTCCTCCTCTATCATATGCCGAAGGATTGTTGAAATCAGAAACGGGATTAACTCTATACTCCACAAAACACAGAATTCACCAATGTGAATATTTAACATCTGTTATGAGCTTTCTGGTCTTTTGTCCAATCACTCAAACACGGCCATTACAAGCAATGTCACGTACACGAACGACGGACACACACACACACACACGGACACCTTCTCAGCTGTCAGTCAAGCTGAGAGATTCAGCCAGAGGAA